CAAAGTGGTCTCCCCCTGGGCAGAAACAGTGCCTCCAACTTGGATGAAATCAAGGACTCGAAAACATGAAGAAACTTATGACGTGAATCTCCCTTTCGAGAGAAAAGTAGGTTGAAAGCGTTTTGTGATGTCGTCTTACCAAAAAGCAAAGGAGGGTTGTCGCTTAATGAAGCCTGTTGTATTGCACGAAGAATGTCTTGGATCATTGTCCTACGACGCCGCTAAAGTTGTGCTAAGCTTTCACCTGTACCAACCTTACAAACATTATCAGAGCGAAAATCCATGTCTTTGTAAATAAATCAAAAATGTATTTAACCAAGAAAAAAGGTGGCCGATCTCAGCCCTGGTCGCTTTTTTATGCACATAACCTTGCCATCTTAATTCAGCATCGTGTGATTTGGTTGGCTACCTCAAACTTATGTTGGAGTAAATTTCATTTCGTTTGAAGAGGTGAGTGGAAGGGATTCGTAATTGGTCTAATCGGAAGCTGTAGGCAGTTTGCCTTGGAGCTGTGATTGTACATTCGTGTGAATAAGTTCTCGGCGCACCACCCAGCCACCCCGATGAATCCCTGTTGAGCTTTCATGCGTCAAGTGACGGACATCGTCAGAGCAGGACACCATGCTTAGCGATAAATCACCAAAACACTAAGGCAAAAGAGGTGGCCGGCTTCAAACCAACCTACTTTTTAAACGAAGGTATGAAGGCCAAGATGGTGTGGTTTTTTGTGTGGTCGCAGTCTCCTTTCGTTGCATATAACTTGCTTCACCTTGTTTACGCAACATGGTCACATTGGTAGGAAGACTTAGAGGAACGCACTCAGTCCGGAGTCCATTGTATGCATCATCATTTCCAGAGTAGGACCGTGGACCGTCTAGGAATGTACCACGTCCACTGTTCTACTCTGGAAATGATGATGCATACAATGGACTCCGGAGCAGGTGCGTTCTTCTAAGTCTTCCTACCAATATGACCGATTTGCGAAAACAAGGTCGAACAACCTCTACTTTTTAAAGTCCAATTTGGTCCACATAGCCATTTCATGTTTTGGTTATTTATCCTATGCTTTGCCTAAATGCATGCTCAAAAGTTAAGTAAAGTGGCTGCGGATGATGCGTGAAACGGGGGCATTGGTGACCGAACGGCCGCATCCTCTCCTAAAACACGTATACTTTCAATCCTGCAATGTTACCGCATGTTGTTACTTTCCTTTGGAAGCATTTTGTGTGGATGCCTTGCTCCTGAAATGAGTTTAATGTGAGAGTCAAAGCCTCGCTCTCTAATCCTATCTAACAGCTAGAAAGTTTCCACCTAACTTACCACACTCATTCCTTCTTTTCCGGTTTTTGACTGTTTTTCTAATTTCCTTCGCTTCCCTAGTTTCTCGCTTATTGGTATTGTCCCCATAAGCCAAGTAAAGTTGGGTTTCGAGGAATCTCTTGTTTCATTATTGTTGAGCTTACTTCCATTTCGAGTGAAAGTGTTGCGTGAAGAGATGAGAAGGTCGGTTCCACCGGAAGACGACGGCGGATTCCTCTTGACCAGCTGCCGATTGGCTTTATTGGAACATTCTTGTTGACGCTGTTTCCGAGGTAATCTTCTTCGACGCCGGTGAAAACATTCTAAATTTCGTCCTTAGGGGAAAATCACATATTTTCTACAGCTACAATCACACTATAAAACTGTGATATTGGAGCGGCACTTTTGATGACGAACATCATCAGAGCATGGTATCATCCTTACAAACAAATTCAAACTAACGAGTCAGAAAAATTCATCGGCTCATCTTTAAACTTCTGTATATATCCTCTATATCTGACCTCGCTGATGAGGTATAAGGTGATTTAGTTAGTTCCAGTCATCTATCAACCTTGGTGCATGTGAGCTTTTCTGACTCGTTGGTTTGAATTAGTTTTGTAAAGATGATGCCCTGCTCTGATGATGTTCGTCATCAGAAGTGCCTCTCCAATATCACAGTTTTCTAGTGTGATTGTAGCTGTGGAAAACATGTGATTTTTCCCTACATTCAACTGCGTTACTTATATGCGTAATAAGTAGGATGTTGGACCCTTTTAGAACAGTCCAAGTCGGCTAAAAAATTGCCTGTTTTGATCAAGTCTAGATCATGATTAATACGGAAATCTTTAAAACAACATCAACAATTACATTACTCTAATTGCAAGCGACCCAATGAATAAGTCGTCGTCAGGGTCTGCGTAAATTAGTGGAAAAAGCAATCCTCAAATCAAGAGGTCCATGTTCAGATCCGGGCCCACTCGTCGGCCGGTTGCACCGTAAGTTCGACTCCAGAACGTAAGAAAGCAGCCCACAAGCTGACACTTTAAATGTTTGTGAATAGATCAAAGATCCTAGAGATGTGGACACAAACAGACAAACAAACAAACACACAAATACAGAAGATAATATAGTGATAAAAGGACCAGGCTACAATCCTTTTATTAGGGCGGCCCCCAGTAAACGTGCACGCGAACAAAGTGGAGGACACACACAAGAAACCGTCTGCTGTCTCGTGTGTCTGTCGTTTCATGAGTGTACACAGCCGCCCACGCATTTCGCCACGGGCGAACAACAAAATGAGCTGGAGCCCTTGTGAAGAGGTTGGAATGACCAAGTGATTGTTCAAGCTCTCCTCTTCTCTCCATTTGAATGTGTGTGTGTGTGTGTGGGTGGGTGATTGTCTGTAGGTGTCTTCATTAATCACAGGGCAAGTGGCGCGAGCGCAGATCAACCGCCCACGCATGCAGCACATCGTCTCCACGCCATCGGCGTCATCGGCAGCGTCAAAAGAAGACAGGATCCCGCCTTGGCCCCACCACTAACCCCAACGTCGTCTGATGCCGGAGCCGAGAGCAAATGTGGACCTCGGCGCCATGACATTCAAGGAGCTGTTCTGGCAGTCTGGGTGAGCATACACTTTTGAAACGTTTTCTCTCCCGCCACACTTG